GTAGGCGAGATGGTGAGATTTTCTTACGAAATTTGATTTCCAAATAAAGTACAAGCCAGAGCGGGCGAACCTAGTGGTAGACGCCTTGAACAGGAAGGTTAACCTTGCTGCCATTAGCCAACCAGAGGGGTCACTGGTGTCGCACATCAAAGAGGGACTTATGTATAATCCTATAGCCAAGGCTCTTACGGAGTATGTCTGGTAAGGTAAAACTAGGTAATTTTTTGTGTAAGATGGTTTGTTGTACACCAGAGGCAGTAGATTGTTTGTGTTGTAGTATGGAAAGCTCCGCAAGGAAGTTTTACAAGAATGCCATGATTTAAGATGGGCAGGACATCCAAGAGTGAGCCGTACCTTGGCATTGCTAGAGGATCGAAACTACTGACTGCACATAAAGGAAGATGTGAAGGCCTATGTGAAGACTTGTCATGTGTGCAACAGGATAAAGTGGAGCTCAAGAAACCAGGCGGTCTCTTGGAGCCATTGCCAGTGCCAGAACGACCATGAGAGGGTGTTTCTTTGGGGTTTATAGTCACTCTATCTAAGGTAGAAGGGTTTGAAAGCATCATGGTAGTGGTGGACAAGTTTTTTAAGTATGAAATCTTCATTCCAGCAACCAAGGAGTGTCCAGCCAAGGAGGCAGCTCGATTGTTCCTGAAGAACATGGTTAAGTACTGGGAAGTGTCAAGGACCATCGTTAGTGATCGGGATGAGCGTTTCACAGGTAGGTTCTAGACTGAGTTGTTGAAGCTATTAGGGTCAGACTTGAACTTTTTCACCAGCATGCATCCGTAGACCGATGGGCAGACTCAGTGTGTGAATGGACTATTAGAGGTCTACCTCAGGCACTATGTGAGTGCCACACAAAGGGACTGGCCAAAGCTGTTAGATGTTGCACAGTTTTCCTATAACTTGTAAAAGAGTGAGGCAATGAACCAGAGCCCATTCGAGGTTATGACAAGTCAACAACCACTAACACTCGATTCGATTGCTGCAGGTTATATAGGGCCGAATCCAACAGCATACAAGTTTGCCAAGGTATGGCAAGAGCAAACTAACTTGGCCAGAGTTTGTCTACACAAGGCAGCAAAGAGGTCAAAGGAGTGGGTAGACCAAAATAGATAGGACGTGCAGTTCCAGGTTAGAGACTTGGTGTTGGTGAAGCTACATCCCATTTTACACCACAGGGGGCTGCACAAAAGCCTAGTCTAGAGGTATGAGGGACTTTTTCGAGTAGTCAAGAGGGTAGGTAAGGTTGCCTACAAGCTGGATATATCACCCAAGTTGAGGGTACACCTGGTGTTCCATGTAAGCATGCTCAAGCTGTTCCATGAGGATGAGAGAGATTCAGGACGGACAGAGTCAAAACATGCACCATTGGGAGCAAGGGCCTCATATGAGAATGAGGTCCACAACATCATAGCTGACCGAGAGGTGAGATAAAAAAACTACCAACCAAGATAAGAGTACTTGGTGCGCTAAAAGAGACTTTTAGACAGTGAGATGAGCTGGGAACCAGCAGAAGACTTATGGCAGTTTGAGGACCAGATCAGGTAGTACCATGCAGAAGACGCAACAAAGACGTTGCATAATTAGGTGGAGGAGAATGTCACGCCTTGGCCGGGCGTGCATGGCACATCAGGCGCACAAGCACATGAGCCAGAGGTTGAGGCCCGCACACCAGGCGCACTGACGGGTATTTGCATGCAAGGCATGAGAGACAAGGCTATAACACCCGCACAGCCTGTAAGCCAGCCCGCATGGCCAAGGCCTGGCCTGCATGATGCCCGTACCATTTTTAGAAGGGCCCAAGGTGGGAGATACGCAAGGGAATCTTTTGGAAGCTTTCAAGATCAGTAAGAGCCTCCTGGCAGATTTGGTTGACCCTAGGATTCATGAGTTAGAATTCTGATTGATTGTAATCTTTGTAATTTCTTGATTTTAGCTTTGATTCTAGGGATATTACCATTAAGTGTAACTGGAGCCTCAACTATAAATAGAAGGATGCTCTACCCTCATTTGTACACCATCATACACTTCTGTTTCAATGAATACAAAGCATATTCCAGCAAGCTATCTTGTTTTCTTGTTTCTCTCAAACTTACACATTCAACCCTTCTCATTGTTCTAATGCCTGCACACTGGTGTTTTAGGCTGACTTAGGCTACAATGAGGTGATTCCAAGCCTAAGGCCTCACGGATTCTGAGTCTAAGGTCGAAACCCGTGACACATTGACATACATTCATGTGTCAAAATCTTTTTATCATACAATTTGTAGCAATATTAATTATTCTTAAGGAACAAAATATTTATAAAAGACATGTCGGAAAATGTCCAAATCATATTTGAAATTCCAAAACTTTAATCTATTTTCATTGGATACATGTAAAACGACATGTATATATATATGGATACATAGTCGACTTTTTTTTTCTATTAGTAAATTAAGTTTTAGAAAAAGATTTGAATTTTTACTTAACCAATTAAAACATCCAAAAAATTTAAAATCTAAAATTTTTATTAAAAATTAAAAAAATATATGATTTTTTTATTAAGATTCCAAATTACTTTGAAAAAATTTATAAATTTCTAAAATACTTAAAATGTTGAAAACTTTTTTAAAAAGTTAAATTTTTATTTTTTAAATACAAAATTTTAAATTTTCAAAAAAAAAGAAAAAGAAAAAGGGGGAAGAATAGAGGGGAGAGATGAAGGATTGAACGGGAAGAGAGAGAAGGGTGGGAGAAGGGGTAGGGGGCCGTTAGAGTCGATCGGGTATCTCAGTGTAGATCGGCCTTGATTTGTCCTAGATCAATATAGTATACTAGATTTTAATAAATTAAAGATTTTATTTTTTTAAAATCATTTTTTTATTTTTTTGCATTTATTCAAATTTTAACTTTTTATTTAAATCAGAATATTTTGTTTTTTGTTTTGACCTTTTGAAATTTTTTATAAAATTTTTCATATTTTTAAATTTTTAGGTTTTTTAAAAATTTAAAAATTTATTTTTTATTTTTTGTTGACATAGCATTGAATGATTTGACGATAACTAAACATTTTTTACAAGTGTTAAAATTTTATTAGATGTTTTATGCTAATGTTAAGCTTTGGAAACAATTTAGGTTTTCAAATCCTTTGTAATCTTTACCTCGTTTTTTTGTTATACAAAAGATTTGTTTTTGCTATAGAATAAATTTCTTGGGAATTGCATGTACATACCTTGGTCAGAGAGGAACCCTTTCGTGCCATTACCAGAAAGATTGAGAAATTTGAAGGACGACAGAAATTCCAATAACCTCATAATATCTTTGATGAAGTAGTTGTAACTTACATCCAAGTACTTCGACTTTCTTAGTTTAGATAACTTTTTTAAATTTAAGAAATCGTAAAGAATGATTATCAACACTCAACTATCATCAAATCATTCTTTATTTGAATAATTAGAGAAGGCAAAGGAGAAATAATATAGCATTGAGGAAAAAAAACCGAGGAAAATGAAAAATTCAACCTTGTTTAAAGATTATCCTGCATTGTTAGAGAGCCTTCGAGCCAGTTGTCGCTCAGATCCAAAAACTCCAAGTTTTTTAAAACAGATAATTCTATATAAAAATAATACTCAATAATCAACAAGAATTACATTCAAAAAAAATTTGAATAGAATTTCAAATCGGACTTTCTTCTTCTTTTAGTAACAATAACCAAAAAAAAAATGCATTTGGTAATTTTTTTATTTAAAAAAATAAAAATAAAATAATGCTTTTAAAAACATTGGAGTTTATTACAAGATTGAAGTTGTTGCTCACATTATCTTTTTTTAATTATTTTGAAGACTATTGATACGTGGGTATTCTACGTGCCATATTGCTATTAATTTTTTTCTAATTAATACTAAAATAAAAATTTTTAAAATTATTATTAGAAAATTAGAAAATTATATTAAATATTTGACTATACTTTTTTTCTAAAAGTATTTGACTAACACTGTAAAATAAATATGTAAACATGAAGAAAAACATACATGAAGTTTCATAGGTAGAGTTCATGAAGTTTTCTTATTAGAAATGAGTAAATAAAAACTAAAATTAAAAATTAAAACTAACAAATTGAAAGATCTCACCACATAAATCAAACGTGTAAATTTTAAAAAAAATTTAATAAATTTTGATATATTTATTAAATAAATATTTTTAGTAAAAATATTGATTTAATTTTTACCGTTGAATAAGTATAGCTTAAGTTTAAATTATAAATAATATTTTTAATAATTTTTATATATTATTAATTTTTACATTGAACTCTATCAATTTATCGGTTTAAATTTTTTTATTAAAGTTTTTATTTACTTATTTTTAATAAGAAACTTCACGAACTTCATCTATTAAACTTCATGTAAGTTTTATCCGTTAAACATATATGTAGTATATGTGGGTGTGTAAGTGTTTGTATGAAAAAAGTTAATATATGCAAGAAATATATTAAATATATGGCTTAAAATTACTTTAAATATTTATTTATGTTAAATTTTGTTGATTATTCAAATATAACAGTTTTTTTTTTTTTAAATACATATAAAAATTATTCTTTAATATTATTTAGTAACTTTGCTATAAGGTGTTAAAAAAATTTTAATTTAACTCCACTAAAGTTCAAAACTAAATAATTCTAATTAATACTTAAATGATATTAATAGCAAATACTAGTCGTACCTTGAAAAGAAAAGGATCCTTGCATGTAAGTGCCACTTAGAATCAATTTTTTAAGAGATGTGAGAGCACTTAAGGACCGCAAAGAGTTATTTGAAAATTAGTTAACAGAAAAATCCAAATTCTCAAGCTTTTGTAGTCTCAACAAACCATTTGAACCTGTAATCATATATATATATATATATATGTATAATTACAATTATCAAGTTAACCAGTCAAATAAATTTAAAAAATACTTGGAATTGTAGCAATTTATTAATTAAAGTACACATATTCATTCAGCAGGATAAATATTATAAAGCATTTAGCAGCATACCTTCCTTCTGAATCAGATTAATCCCAAACCCACTTAAATTGAGAATCCTTAACTCCATAAATGGTTGGAATATAGATAGGCTAAGCATAGATGGTAAGTTGTCTCCATATATACTTTCGCCTACATTGCCGAGAGAAAGTTCAATGACATGACCCGTGGTGTTGGCGCACTTGACACTCTCCCAGCGGCAACATTCTGGATCATCTTCACCCCATGATGGTAGAACAAAATAGCCTGCACACCCAATATTTGATTGGAAGCATGCCTTGATTTTCAATAGACTCCTCCTCTCGTCTTCATAGCAAGCTTGGTGCTCATGGAATTGGACCAACAACAATAATAACAACAACAACTTACACATAGCCATTGATTTCCGTTTTGAAATCTGATGCTGCTACTGCATGCATGCACTCAAGCTAAGGTTTATATAAATACATAAGATATGCATGCATTGCATCAGTTGGCCTCAAGCCTCAAAATATACAGTAATACGACCTTGCTTCACACGTTTGTCCTCTGCTCCGAGATAGTTTCTTTCTTCTTAGTATTTATGATGGGATTCCAAAAATCTTCCTTTTCAGATTTTCAGGACATCCAAGGACCTTTCGTGTCTGTCATATTTATTGTTTTCATTTTAGTACAAGCATGCTAAATTCATTTCCAGAGACATGACGTCTTCCTTTTTAGATTTTCAGGACATCCAAAGACAAATTAGTAAGTCCTCATTTCCACCAACATGATGCCATCTTTTTCAACATTTTTATAATATTATTATTGACTCGAGATGGTGACTTCGAACGCACCTAGTTTGCGTGATAAATCAGTCAAGCCAGCCCAGCGATTCAAAGGAGACTCCTACGTTATTTACTCAAAAACCAGTTTTTGCATAGGTTCCTAGAGGAAGTTACTCCTGAATTAATGTCAATAAAACTTCATGTATTTACTTTGACTCATTTCTAAATAACTAATTCAATATTTTAATTAGCACAATTCAAACAACACAAATTGTAATAACATAAATAATTCAAATCATGAAAAGAACATAAATTAAGGGGTAATTATTCATAAGTGTACAATTACAATTTATAAGTAGTCCAAAAATGTACATCAAATGAATTACAAGCATGTTTTTTTTCCCCATTCGCAGAACAAAGGATTGAGCATTACAATCATGTCTTCCCGCATGCATATGTTTTCCACAACTCCCACACAATAAAAAATCCCACGATAGTTTTCCTATGCAATTTAGAAGCAAAGATTCCTTGGGGCCATATCAAGGGCATGATTCATAGTGATTTAAATTATATTTGACGCATAAAATTATTGATAAAATAAGATGATAATTATCTTATATCATGTTTGTTTTGTATTTAAAGAGAAAGATAAGTATTGTAAGGAGGATTAATATCCTTTTAGCATTAGATTATTCAATTATTCTCAAGTAAAGATGATTATTTTCAATTCATGAGATTAAACTTACATATCAAATTATACTATTAAAAATTACATCAATTGTTTAAATTGTATAAATATTGAAAAAGGATAATTTTGACAACTAAATAAATTATCCTATATTAATCCTTGTATACATCAAATATAAAATATGATGAAATTATTTAATCTAATTTTATTTATAATATTATCTTATCCTATTTTATCACAATTTTGTATATCAAACATGACCTTAAAACCTAAAACACTAGTTGAAAACTAGTTTTTAGACTTAAGAATCACATTGGCACTACCAAAACTTGTTTCACTTGGGTAATTTTTAGGTTTCTTAGCACTTGCTACACTCCTATTAATTAAATAAAGAAAAAATTTTGAATTTGAATTTGAATTCGAGTTCAAATTCGAAATCGAAATTTAATTTAATTTAATTTATTTATTATAATAAAATTATAAATAGATAAAGAGTTTTAAGTTTTTTTTTTGGATGAAAGAGAATTTAAGTGTTAATACTTTAGGATATATGTCCTTTTGGTTAATAATGAGAATAAGTATAGCAAAATATTAAGGCTTGAAATGCAATCTTTAAAATTCTAAGGCTCCATTTGTTTTGTTAAAATTGATTTATAAAACATGTTTTTTAAAAAATGTTTATATTTTTTGGAAAAGTAAAAATTTTTTATTATTTGAATAAGTTAATAAAAAATATTTTTTGTCATTTTTTTAAAAATCTATTTTTTTAAATAATATTACTATATGTATTAAAATATTAAAAGTTATTTATTATTAAAGCATATTGAAATTATTTATTATTAAAATTATTATTCAAGAATAATTATATTTTCATAATAATATTAATATTGAATATTTATTAATATAAAAATACTTTAAAAAAATATTTATTATTCTTTATATTAATATTTTAAATATTTAAAATAGTATTACTATTCTTAAAATATTATTTTTATTAATATTAAATTCTAATATTTATTATTAAAAAGTTTTAACTATTATAAATATTTATATTTTATATTAAAAGTATATATAATTAAATCATAAATAAAATTTTTATTAATATTTATTATTAAAATAGTAATATAAATATGTTAATAAATAAAAATATAAAATTATATATATATTTTAAACTAAAAATAATAAAAAATTATTTAAAATATTCATATTGAAAAAATATTATTATATTATTTAACATTAATTATTAAAATAATAAAAATACTATTTTATATTTTTCTATTTATTATTAAAATAATAATATAATACTATTTATTATTGAAATACTAAAAATATATATGTCTAATAATACACAAAATAAAAACATTTAAAATTAAAATATGAAAAGACTTTTAATGTTAATATTTTAATTTTTTATCAAAATTAAATACAATATTTTTATTAATATAATTATATTTTAAGCTGAATTAAATTAAGTTCGAGTTTAAAATGTTATATTTAAAATCTTACTTGAGTAAAATTATAAAATATTTAAAATTAAAATGTTAAACAACTTTTAATATTAATATTTTAATTTTTTAAGTAAAATTAAATAAAAACATTATTTATTAATATAATAATATTTTTGGTGGGGTTAAATTAAGTTTAAGTTTAAAAAAATCATGTACAAAGATTGATTTGAGTAAAATTATGTTTAAACACATTGATAAATATTTTTATTCATAGATACTTTTCTTCTAAAAATTATCTTCTCTTTTTCAAAAGAGAAAAAAATTTCCAAAAAAGCTATTATCTTATTTTTTGTTAATAAATAAATTATTTTTTATTAATCAATCAATTTTTTATTAAATAAATATTTAAAAATACAAAAATTATTTTTTACGAAATAAATGAATAATTAGATATTAATAAATGATGTTTTATGACTGCTACAAGATATCTCATGGTTTGATATGGTGGAACTAAAATGTTCTTCATAAGTACATTTCTTTTGGTGTGTCGTCTACATGTCTCTAACTCGTTCCACATAAAGCATATGCCTGATTGATGAAATTACTACTATCCATTTTAAAGTTGGAAGAGAAGTTTAAGATAGTGGGATTATGGGCAATATTATTATTGACTTGAGATGATGACTATGAACGCACCAAGTTTGCGTGATTAATCAGTCAAGCCAGCCCAGCAATTCAAAGGAGACTACTACATTATTTACTCAAAAACAAGTTTCTGCATAGGTTCCTAGAGGAACTCACCCCTGAATTCATGTCAATAAAACTTCATGTATTTACTTAGACTCATTTCAAAATAACTAAGTCAATATTTTAATTTGCACAATTCAAACAACACAAATTGTAACAACATAAATAATTCAAATCATGAAGAGAACATAAATTAAGGGGTACTTATTCATAAATGTACAATTATAATTTATAAGTAGTCCAAAAATGTACATCAAATGAATTACAAACAAGTTTTTTTTTTCCCATTCACAGAACAAATTATTAATAAAGAAAATAAAATAAAATAAACATTACAATTATGTCTTCCCGCTTGCATATATTTTCCACAACTCCCACTGGTAAAAAATCCCATAAAAACTAGTTGTAACAATAAAAACTATGAACGCTTCAAGTTTGCGTGACAAATTATTCAAGCTAGCCCAGCAATTTAAAGGAAACTCCAACATTATTTATTCAAAAACAAGCTTCTGCTTAGATTCTTGAAGGAATTCACCCCTGAATTAATGCCATACAATTTCAGTGATGTTTAATACATTGAATTATTGATAAAATATAATAATGATCATCCTATATCATATGATTTATATCTAAAGAGAATAATACGGATTGCAAGTGTAGAAACCAAATTTGTCTGGATTTTAGTTGAATCTCGTTTTAAAATTCTTTGGGTGTATTGGGTTCTTAGACTTGAGCCCAATTTCGATTCAACTAGGCTCTAAGCCCAATTTCGATTCAGTTGGGCTTCAAGCCCAATTCGATTCAATCAGGCTCGAAACCTATTTCCTTTTTAAGTCCAAGGCCTGAAAATTTTTTATTTTTATTATCTTTTTATATTAGTTTTTTTAATTAAAAAATAATAATATTAAAAATTTAAAATTTAAAATTAAATTTAAATTTAAAATTAAAAAAAAAAAAGAAAACAGAAAGTAGGGGGCTGGTGTACGGCACCGCTGCCGCCCCCAACCAGCCACCCTATAGCCTATCCAGCCACCCCTGTTCAGTCCTATCAAATCAGCCACCCTCACCAGCCACCCGACCAGCCAACCTATAGCTAACCTACAGCCTACCCTACAGCCACCAACTACTCTACCTTACACCACCGACCAGCCCTATAAAACACCTAGCCTCCTCTCCTTTTGACCCTTTATGGGATAGACTTTCAGACACACCATTGGCACTAGATACCTAGCTCTCCCTTCGGACACATCTCTAGAAACCCAAAAACCCCAATCAGCCCCCACCAATTACTACGCCAAAAACCCAGAGTCTCTACTTGCATCAGAACACTCAAAACCCCTCACCTACCAGAAACAAAAAAAAACTAGAAAAATAAAAAAAAGGAAAAAACAACCACAGTCCTCGTCGATGAGAAACCTCAACGTCGAGCAAGCTACCTGTAAAAAGGCAAAAAAAATCAGTTTTAGTTATACAATAAAAGAAAAGAAAAGTAGGAGCACCAAAACTTTAAACCCAGATCTACGCTGATCGGGGTAGTTTCTGATGAAAAGAAGGTCAGATTTGAAAAAAGGGCATTGGGAAGAACGTGTGGAAGCTTTTTGACATTTTTTTGTGAACACAAGGCTGCTGGCAACCACCGACGGCCACCTCAAATGGTAGCCAACAAGGTGGTATCGCATCGGACTTAGGTGAGACTAGAGAGGATTTTTAAGGCTAGGAGGATTTTTTTTTTGGAGAAAAGATGAAATGA